GTATCATCCTTATTTTGTAGATTAAAAAAACCAACAGGCTTAAAACAACAAAATAATTTCTGCAAGGCTGCACTGCTGGTAAAGAGCAAAACACACCTTCAGCCCAGACAGTCTGACTCCAAAGCCCATGCTCTTTGCTCCACACACTCCACAGCACTACTATGAAATGTAAATTTTAAATAATAAACTGATTGTATTGATTTGATGTCTGTCAACAATTACACGAAGGGGGCATTTCAAAGAAAATTTAAAAGCATGTCTTTTTCTCCTAGCACGCATTTATATTTACATATGCACCAACTGAATAAAGCAAAGTTTAACTAGATGCTGAATTTACTGCCAAGTCTCAAGTGAAAATAAACGTGATATATAACTGTATTACTCAGTTAGCTATTCATATATATAGTTGAATATGTTACATATAAACTCAAAACAAGTACCAACATATTTCCAAATGCTTTCACCTAGAACTTTATCCCTGCTCACTCAAGAAAAAAAGATACTGAACTTATTCCAGGTACACCATTTCTCAAATATATTTAATTGAAACAATGACCTAAAAGGAAAAAAAATAAGAAGAAATTAACCTTGAATACTGATGCCACAATTAAAAAAAAAAAAAAAAAAACACAACATGCCCTGGCTGGCATAGCTCGGTGGATTGAGCGTGGGCTGCGAACCAAAGTGTCGCAGGTTCGATTCCCGGTCAGGGTACATGCCTGGGTTGCAGGCCATGATCCCCAGCAACTGCACATTGATGTTTCTCTCTCTCTCTTTTTCCGTCCCTTCCCTCTCTAAAAATAAATAAAAAAAAATCTTGAAAAAAAAAAACATTAACAAACAAAGCCTGTCCGGCCAAACCTGGTCATCTTACAATGTTCTCTATCTCAGTGAATTATACTACAATCCATCCAGTTACATAAGCCAAAACGCTAGTGGTGGCCAATGGCACTTCCCTCTCCCTCGTTTCTTATACACAGTCCATCACCCAGTTCTACCTCCTAAACATCTCTAAAATCCGTCCATTTCTATGCATCTTCACCACCACTTTGCCTTAGGTGTTATCATCTGTCATCTGGCTGCTCCCATCCATACTCTCACCTTCTTTGAATCAGTTTTTCTTCTGTATTATACCAAGTTTCTTTTCCATAAAACTTAAAATAGATGCAACTTTAAATGCCTTTGATGGAATATTAGATTTATGTCTGCCTCCCCTGCTACACAAGAATGCAGGGGAGGAACTGCATTTTTTTCTATGCGGGTAGAAACTGTATTTACTGGCACTGTATCACTGTGACCTAGAAGAATGCCTAGTTAATAAATAAATGCTAAATGACTGAATGCATGTCAAAGATCACAAATTTATGTATAAACAGTCCCCAAAAAGGGGTTATAAAGCTCACTAACCATCATAAGGAGCACCTTATTTCATTTTACATTGTAACTCTGAAACTGCATACATCTTAGAGTTGACAATCTTTAATTGGCAATATTTTTTCCATAGTAGCTCATAAAATGATGTATCTTAGAATTATTTGTAGAATCTCATGATTTAATCAAATAGGAAAATCTGCAATACTAAGTTGAAACCTGGAAACCTAGCCTCCCTTCTCCTTTGGCCACCACCCAACTCCAAACACCCAATAATTAACAGAGCCTACTGGCTCCTTCACCAACGAGCTGTTAAATCGTTTTCTTTTTATTTATTTATTTATTTATTTTTAATCATTGTTCAAATACAGTTTTCTCCTTTTTACTCCCAATCCAGTCAAATCCATTGTTTTCTTCCATTCCTACTACAATTACACTAGATCCACCTTTCCTAATTACTCATTGCCTCATAGCCGAGCTCTTGTTCTAGCTTCATTCATTTAAACACTTGTTTCGAATTCAACACTGCATCTTCTATGTGCAACAATGGAAAAAACAGGAAATACAAAGCAGTCCAGTTGCTTGCCCCTCCTTCTAATCTCCGCCCCACTACACTTCAGAATTTTGTTCATTCTATGCTTCAAGCTGGAATTACCTTCCTCCCAATTTCTACCTACCAAAACCCTACTTGCTGCTTAAGTTCCAGATTAAATCTCATCTTCTTAATGAAATATTCCCTAGTTAATCTCTTTTCAACTTTAACATTCTAAATCACATAAAATCTACATGGATATGGGCTGTATTTATTTTCTGCTTCTGGAAGGCAAGGTTTACATCTCATACATTCTGTTAGAGTGTAAGGCCCCTGACAGCAGGGCTTTTATCTGTTTTGTTCACTGTTTTATGTCCAGCACCTGTAAGAGTATCTGGGTATAAAACAGCTGCTCAGCAACTATTTATTGAATTAACACTCTTCATGTATTCCAGGGTCGAGGACAAGTGTTTAAAACTGTGTGAACCAGTCTTCACAGTGGAGAAAGTAAAGAGCTAGACTAAATAACTTAAACTCTTTGAGCTTCAGTTTCTTCCTCTGCTAAATGCAAATAATGTTCAATAGTTCACTGAATTGTTGTAATGATTAAATGCAATAATGCTTTAATAGCATCTAGTGCAGACTGAGGACAAGAGGTGCTCTCAATAAACATTTAATGATTTTGTGTTAATAGTTAAATAGTAAGAAGTATTCAATATGCCTACTAAATGAATAAAATCTCAGGTAAAATATAAAAAGTTTGCATAACATTGAGCCTCTTACCAGTTCTCCAATAAACAATTCCATGAGTGGCCTTGGCTGGTATGGCTCAGTTGGTTACGGGTTTGAGTCTGGGTAAAGGCACATGCCCAGGATACATGTTCTGTCCCCAGTCAGGGCATATGCAAGAGGCAATTGATTGATGTTTCTCTACACCTCTGTCTCCCTCCCTTCCCCTCTCTCAAAAATCAATAAGCATGTCCTCAGGTGAGGGTTAAAAAAAAAAAGAATTCTATGAGTGAATTGGTTCTGAAATATTTACACTTAGCCCCAAATATTACATGGCTAAAACCATTTCTGATTTATTAGGAATAATCCCAATTTGACAGAATACAAGTATTAATATTTATATTTTATTAACATATACATTATACTTTACTGCTTAAAGAAAAACAATAATTTTATTATTAGGATTCTATCATGCAATAATCAGAATAAAAAAGTTGCAAACTTATTTGGGTTACATGGTCTCCAAAAAGCCAGGAACTACAATAATTTCTGTCTATAAAACATCAGTGAATAATATACAATGCTGTTCTACCAGACCTGTCAAAATATACAGAAATACCTCAAAAACAACTACAACAAATAAATTTTTAAATATATTTGCATTCATTTTACAGGAAAAGAACATCAGTTAAGTGTTTTTTTTAACTTTTTACTAAACTATAAAATTCTGTATGTTGGCTACTTTTTAACTTTCCCCAAAATTTTAAACTATTCCTAAAATTTTACAGCAAATGAAATGATAATTCAACATAGCATCAGATTATTGGGCTAATTACAAACTCTTCCTTGTCCAGGGAAGAAGCTTTATTGATGTATAAATTGGACCACACACAGACTTTACCTTTCAAAACTTTTCCAAACCCTCTGGGTAATTTCAGTGACTCATAATCTATTAGGCTGGTCAAAAAGTCCATTTAGTTTTTTTGGTATGATGGCTCTAGTACTGCTTAGGTGTCTTAAATTTCATTCGAAACAATTTTTTTAGATTGTATTGTGACAGCTGTCATATCAGCATGCATTTTAAAAAAACATCAAAATTGGTGAATGTTTTTAATATTGAAGATGGAAGAAAATATGCAACGTTTTCAGCATATCATGCTTTATTACTTGAAGAAAAGTGAAAACACTACTGAAATGCAAAAAAAGATTTGTGCAGAGAATGGAGATGTGCTGTGACTGATCGAACATATCAAGAGTGGTTTGCAAAGTTTCTTGGTACTATTGAAATTTTGGCAAAAGAATTTGTTGCTATAGGGGCTGTCTTTTGCATTAGAAGATGTTCAGCAGCACCCCTGGTGTCTACCCACCAGAAGCCAATTGTGGGAGATAGCCGACATAACTCAAAATATACAAATCAATAAAGCTATTGGTGAAAATGAAAAGCGTGTTGCCTTTTATTTTAGGGGGAAAAAGCCACAAACTTTTTGGCCAACCGAATAATTACAAATCACTAGAAACCAAGGAGGAAACAGTATTCTCTTTAGTCTAATATGATATCAATTGACATAAAAGTACTGCAAAATACCACAGGGGATGTATGCTCCAGGTCTGTAAATGAAAAAAAAAAAAAATCCTATCTAATTACTACAAAGAGACGCGAGGCTACATATTCACCTCTAACTTATAGGGTAGCAATACACTACATGTGGGAAAATAATACAAAAGAAAGCTAAGCCAAAGAAACCTTAAGAAATATAAAGCCAGTAAGCAGGCATGCTGAGTAGACCATTGATGTCTTTCATCTTCACCAATCATAAGAATGCGTCTCCAACCTAAAAAGCCCTTGCGTGTGAATGGAGGTGGAAAAGTTGAGGGTGAAGCAAGAAGGAAATGAAGTGACTGCAAGTTAGTCTAGATGGAAAAGCATTAAAGGTCTGAAGCAATAACATAGGCCAAATAGGGGAGAAAGAGTTAGGAATCAGAAAACTGCGATCCCAGGAATACGGTTTGGCCAGGGGGCGGGGGAGCTCCCCCCCCCCCCCCTTTCTTTTATCTTCTTCTGTTGGAAGACAGAGGAAAGGAGTTAAATGGAAGCGATTGCGCAGGAAACAAGAGGTCGTGCCTAGAACGCCTAAGGAAAGCCACAAGAAGAGGAGGAACAGCTAGCTGCCCACATGAAGGCTTACGGTTAGCTCTGGAGCACAGAAAGGGAAAGTCAGAAGACAAATGACACTAGAAAGAAGTGAGGGAGGAACCAAAACCTTCAGAGTTCAAATTGCTGGCCACAGGGTCTCCTCTGAGGGCAGGGAACCCCCCCAAGAGTCCCAAGAAACCCGGTCATTAGGGGACCAAGACACTAATTCCCGACCTTTTCCTGACTCCCCTAGCCTCGAGTAGATCCCCTCACCGCAACAGAACGGGAGCAGTATAAAAAAAATGTGCAGGAGCCACCAACCCGGGAAACGTTCCAGCTCTAGCGCAAGCCGCCACAAACACTGCCCGCACACACACAGACGCTCCAACCTCAGCGCCGCGGCTACAGTCACCTCCAGTTCCCCGGCCACCGTAGTAAGAGGGACGGCCTTCTTATAAAACCAGAATACATCAGCCACTTCCGGAGTACTAACTTCCTGCAATTGGCCACAGCAATAACTGCCGCCTACGAATATTTGCCCCGCTGACTTCATCCATTCCTTGTTCCCCTGGCCACCCCAGCCACTAAAATTGCCAACAGAGCAAGCGCAGAACCAAAGGAAAGTATCCATCTGTAAGCAGGTCTCCAATAGACAAACCACGGTTGGCCTGCCCTGAGTTCCTGCTGAACAATTGGACTTCAACTCCCACCGTGCCATCCAGCACCACCCCTTCTCTGTGGCAGGAACTACAAGATCCAGTATGCACTGCGTCCCTCAGTCCTCACTCTGTTCCTGGTGGAAGGAAACTTGAGTGAGATTCAGAGGACCCGTTAAATCCATCCGTCTAATGTAGACTTTCCTGTCAAGCACCGCTTTACCTATAGGTGGGACTATAGTTGGGACTATAGGTAAATACTTTTTAAAATGTCAAGAAATGTGTGCACTCGTTTTTTATTGTCAGATAATTTTCAAGGATTTAAAAACATGACAGTCTGCAAAGGCATTTTATGAAATGAAAATTTTTATGCTCACTCATACGGGGTGTTGAGAGAAATACTACATTATTGCACAGTGTAATCATATCATTTTGTAGTAGTACTCCAAGATCCTGTTGGAACCGGACAGATGTGCTCCTGAGTTGCATAGAAAATTGCAGTAAGAGTTAAAAGCAAAAAAATTAACAGCCTGTACTACCTGACTATGAAACCACATGGGAAAGAAAACTTTTCAGAATGCAGAGTTTAAAAGTTCAAAATTAAATTTGAAATGTTTTTTTAATTTTTAATGTGTAAAATGGTTTGAAATAATTTTTCATTATTCTCACAAAAACAACTAACTACAACATTTATTTTCTATTATGTAGTAGGACAACCAAGTAACTGATCACTCAAATAATGTGCCAAAATCACAAACTTACTAGATTAACCAAACAAAATTACTGTTTTCTTGCCTGATTAGATATAGCTTGTGGTTTCATATTTTAAAACACAGAACTCTGTTTTGACTTCTTAGGACAGATCACATGCATCGAACAAGCTGTGTGGCTACCTTTTGTTACTTTCATTAACACTTGGATTGGAAGAATGAATATATTTCATTTTTTATATTGTGCATTAATAGGCCATGAGTAACGATACTTGGATTGTCATAATAAACTGCACAGAATAAATATACAGAATACAGAATTATACAGAATAAAAGTGTGTATACCACAAACACTGGTTTTCTATGGATTATAGCAAAATAAATTTTAATTGGTAAGAAAACAGATGAGAATAGTTTTCACTTTTATAACTTCACATATAAGTCACAGAGGGAAATTATATTCTCCAACTCTGACATGGCATCAGCTACCGTACAAACTGCTTTTCAACTCCGGTGTGCTAAATTATGCAGCACTAGCAAGTAAATATTTAACATCTATGATCATGGAAAACAATCTGCTGCTTTCCATACTCGTGCACCAAATCAACAATACACACAGAGAAAACATTTCCTTTGGAATGATTCAGAAGTAATGAAAAACTATAATTAGGTTATCTGCTGTTCATGTTTGTAGTAAATAAATACATAATTGCATCCAGTTATTAGGGATATTATTAAGACAGCTTTTAAAATATGCTAAATATTTGATGCCCGTACTTCTAAAGCAGTTTCAGTGATCAATTGGGTGAATGAATGTGGAAGAGAGTTTAAAGAATACATAATTTATGCAACAGAATTTAGGTTTTTAAAAGAGATTCTTGCAGCTGCGGTGCTTAGCAATATTCTCTCCTCTAAATGTGTCTTTGGCTTTCCAATTCAGCAAATTGCCAATCACACAAGAGTTAAAATTGGACAAGATGTTCACTTCAGTTCAACAAATATTCCATGAGTGCTACTAGGGTGAAGCACTCTGCCTAAGCACTATAGTCTTCCTGAAGCACAGTTATGATATTAGGGAAGATTTAAAGGGAAATGAAAAGCATATATGAGCTTTATTAGAATGGAAAATAAAGTATTGTAACATGAACTTTTGTGTTTTTTTAGAGAGACAGGAAGAGAGAGGGAGAGAAACATGGATGTAAAAGAGGAACATCAATAGGTTGCCTCCCATATATGCCCAGAACGGGGGTTGAACCTGCAACCTAAGCATGTGCCATGACCTGGTATTGAACCAGCGACCTTTCACTTTGCAGGACAATGCCCAACCAACAGAGCCACATAGTCCAGGGCTTTGCATTTACTTTTATCAGTATTTATTTCATGCTGAATTTACTCCTGGGACATAAGTTTTTGTTTCTTCGGTTTCTTCTGGGTTATCTTTTTCTTCTGAGCAACCTCCTCTCCTGCTTTAGGAACAATCTGCTCTTTTTCAATAGAATCATCTAAATGTATCAGGAAAAGCTCAGTTGTGTGTTATCCACCCATGAGTTCTATAAGTTCTGTGTCGCATCTTCAGTTCTTTGTTCACCTGGAGGTGCTCAATGACCAGAGAATCTGCATCTAAACCCTTAAGGTCAGCATTATCTATTTTTAAGCATGCATAGCAAAAATTCAGCATTCTCTTTGGGCCACCAACCCAGTGTCCAGCACCACCATTTTGCCTGGGCACACTTATCAGCTCCACTCTTGTAACAGTGGAATGGCACATGTTACTTCTGTGAAGTAACATCCTTTGGATACTTGGTGGCTTTTCAGATACACATACCCTTCATGGCCTGGGCACCTAATCAAGAGTTCTTAAAGTGAATACAAAGATTTGAACCACTTGATTTGCATGATTTTGTGGGGGTATTCTGAATAAAGTGAATAATTAATCATTTTCACAGATCACCTCTGGCTGCTTTTGGGAGGATAAAGAGCTGTAATGTCAACTTTTGATAATTACTTATGCATTTGGTTAATTGAAACACTATAATAGCCCATATACCTTTTGAAGGAACCACATCTTATTTTTTCAATATATTTTACTGACTTTGCTATTACAGTTGTCTCAATTTTTCCCCCTTTGCCCCCCCCCACCCAGTAGCCCCTATTCGCTCTAGCAATGCCCCACTTAGATCATGTCCATGGATCACGCATATTAAGTTCTTTGTCTACTCCGTTTCCTATACTGTACTTAATATCCCCCTGTCTATTCTGTACTTACCAATATGTACTTTAAAAAAAAAACTATTTTTAAAGGTTTTATTTATTTATTTCTAGAGAGAGGGAAAGGGAAGGAGAAAGAGAGAGAAATGTCAATGTGTGATTGCCTCTCATGCAGCCCCTACTGGGGACTGACACACAACTCAGGTATGTGCTGTGACTGGGAATCGAACTGATGACCCTCTGGTCCACAGCCCATGCTCAATCCATTGAGATTCACCAGCCAGGGCACCAATTCATATTTCTTAATCCCTGAACCTTTTCCCATTGTCTCTCTTCCACCTCCCAATTGATAACATCTCTAAATGATCTCCATATCTATGATTCTGATTCTGTTCTGCTTGTTTGCTTAGTTTGTTTCTTAAATTCAGTTGTTGATAGTTGTGAATTTATTGTCATTTTAATGTTCATAGTTTTGATCTTCTTTTTCCTAAATAAGTCCCTTTAACATGCCATGTAATAATGGATTGGTGATGAACTCCTTTAATTTTACCTTACTTGGGAAGTACTTTATCTGTACTTCAATTCTAAATGATAGCTTTACCAATCTAAGTTGTAGGTCCTTGCTTTTCATCATTTTGAATACTTCTTGCCAGTCCCTTCTAGCCTGCAAAGTTTCTTTTGACAAAACAGCTGACAGTCTTATGGGAGCTCCTTTGTAGGTAACTCTGCTTTTCTCTTGCTGCTTTTAAGATCCTCTCTTTATCTTTAACCTTTAGCATTTTAATTATGATATGTCTTGGCATGCTTCTCTTTGCAACTTTCTTGTTTAGGAATTGAACTAGCAACCCTTTGGTTCACAGGTCAGCACTCAATCCACTGAGCCACACCAGCCAAGGTGTAATAACCAATGTTTTGAACTCTGCATTTGATAGGTTGCTTATTTCCATTTTGTTAAGTTCTTTTTTTGGAGTTTTGTTCTGTTCTTTCATTTGGGCCATATTTCTTTGTCTCCTCAATTTGACAACCTCCCTGTGTTTGTTTCTATGTATTAGGTAGAGCTACTTTGACTCCCTGTCTTAGTAGCAATGTGCACACATAAGGTGGATGGGGCAGATCCTTAGGTAATCACCATAGTGAGGCAACCCATGTGAACTTGGTTGATGGAGTCTCAGATTATGGTATTCCTGCTCTGTGGCTCTGTGTGGTAGAGGACTCAGAAAGGAACAGTGCCACTGCCTGGCTTCTGGAATTTTGTCTGTGAGAAAGCTGTCCCCCAGCTCTTGCCCTGATGACAGATACTTCAGTTTCTCCCCATGTGCCACTGGTTGGCACCCTTTCAGCTATTGCCCTGGTGCTGGAGCCCAGAGGGAGTGAGTCTGCTAAGTCCTAAGTCCATTGTGGTCTCTGTAAGAGGAGACTCCTAAGAATCCCACAGTTTCTTCAGCTACTCTAACCCCCACTGGTTTTTACAGCCAGAAGTTATAGGGACTTATCTCCCGGCACTGGAACCCTGGGTTGGGTGGTCTGGTGTGGGACTGGGATCCCTCACTCCTGAGGTATCCCTCCCAATTTTTGTCTACCATATTTGAGTGTGGGACTGCCTGTTCCACACCTCTGCACTTCCATGCCTCAGTGCCTCTCTGCAAGTCACCACAACTCTACCTCTCCTGTCCGTCTGAATGAATGTGAATTCCTTGATTACTGGACTTCAATACAACTCGATTTTCTGATGATTCTGGGTGATATTTGCTTTGTTGTCTAGTTGTAATTTTTCCTGTGTTTGTGCAAGGAGGTGAGCTGTGTTTACCTACGTCTCCATCTTGCCAGTAGCCACCTCTTAAACATCTGTGTCTGTCTCAGCTCTAAGAATAGTACTTTGTACAGTGACTGGCACTCCAGAAGTGTTTATGGGAGTTCAGTGATGTCTGAGGCCCTGAATCTCCCTTGTCCTTAATATGATGTAGTTTTAACA